TCATACAGTTATTACCTAGATCCACCCCTGATTTCTATTTCCTGAGCACTGTCATCTTTCTTTTTTTACAAGGTTAAAGAAAGTAGAAGTACACAGGGGGTTGAATAAGAACATAAAGTCAGGATAGGAGTACAGAGTAGACCAATGCCTTCCAATCTATTTTTTGGATTCTCAGAGCCCTACAACTTTTCCTTGAGAGGCAGCACCCAGAGGCAAATGTAAATCTCTCTTGGTCACTGCATTTATATTCTACACTCCACATTTGATGCAAATAATGCAGAATTTGAATCATTAGGTTGGATAACAGGCACAGTTAGGAGTAAGTTTTCAGTTTTTTAAGTTAAAGAATAAACTCTTGGAAAACATTCAAGATATATCATAATAAACTCAAGATCATCTCAGTAAGACCACAGGCTAAAAACTAACAGACAGTAAAATACCTCTGAAAAGAGTCAGCTAGAGAAACATTGCTTTGAATTATTTTAATCTATTATTCTACAGGCAAGCAGCACAGACACTGTGGGCACTGAGCAAAGCTCTTATCTACCTCCTGATAAGCTGACACCTTCACCAGACCACACCTGTGTTTTCCCTATTTTTCTACTCCTTTTCAGAAAAGCTAAGGCAAGACAGATACTACCTTAGCCTTCCTAGGAGACTAGTTCAAGAGAAAGCAAGGGCTACTATGAAGCAACAGTTGCAAGTAAGTAACTGCTCAGCCTGTCTCATTTAATCTGCAAGCCTAAACACTAAAGCAAAATACACAAAGTTACAGATTCTTAGACCTCCAAGAAAGACAGCACTCTGTCACAAAGGATGACACTTTTCAAGCTAACCACAGAATTCAGACTTTCATGAAAAGGCATTATATCTACAGGAAAAGCAACTCCCAAACTGTCTAAGAAATCATAACAAAGCAAACTACAGAAGCACATGAAACAGTTTTCAGCATAACTAAATTTTAAAGAATTTTTGTGGTAGTTCTCAAAACTTATTGGGTTACGCTATTATTCAAAACAAACCAGCAGAGTCTGCATCAAAGTGATGCAAAGTGATTTCAGCACCTTAAGCCTTAAGATAATTTCAGAGTCTCTACTCCAGTCTCAAAGAAGCAGCTGAGTCAGGAATGTGGTTAGATGCTCAGCTATGGAAGCATTTCTGATATCCTCTCATCTGCAGAATTCTTTATCAGCTACTTTGAGAGTTTCCCATCTGGCAACATCCAAAATAAACTCTACTTTTAGCAGTTCACCACCCCCATGTATTATTCACAGAGGTTACACCTCAGAGTTCCCTTTGTACATGTGGATCCCAAACTTTATCAGCAGCTGAAAACCACCACGCATCCTTCTAGAGTTAAAAACAGAAATAGCAGCTTGGCCTATTTCAAACACTGCAGCCTACAGCTATTTGATGTACTATCTTGAAGAAGGTTAGATAAAGAAAAAGTGCTTTTCTTTCTTATTTAGCATATTTGTTACTACAGTAAGGTCTTAGAAATTAATCTTCCAGTTTTGAATTTATAGAAAAGATTAAGTAAGCAAGTAAAAAACAGCTGGAAAATGTGTTTAAAACAATCTAAATGCTGAAAACCAGCATTACCAAGTGGCACCAATGAAAGTGTTTCAACAAGATTATTATTGCCAACAATGTGACAAATTAAATCCCGCAAAGTACAAAATGGTAATAAGACAAAAAAAACCCACAACCAATCTAGACAGCACTTCAGTTTCAGATATATTGAAAATGCTTAAGTACACACTGACATAGTAAAAAATCAGTCCTGAAAAGACATCTGAACTGTCATCGAGGGGATGGGCATTCTTTCTAAACAAGGAACTCAAACACTTACCCAGATTTCAGGTCTGTAATTCGTAAACAATTGGTAGCATCCAGGCCTACTTTTCCATTTCTCACCACACTCGAAATGAATGGTGAAAGGGCAGGAGAAATTCTGTTCAAGGCAACTTCAGGAGACATTGTAGCGTTCTCTCTTCCTTTTGTCTTTAGCTGTACAGGAACAGTAAGGGAGAAAAACAATTTTAAAATATCCTACTTATTTGGTGTAAATTCACATATACTATGCCAACATCAAAGGAAAAACAAGCTTAGCGCTCTAGCGATCAGGAATTGAAGTATACAAAGTTAACTTTTTTCTCCTACCTCTGCAATGATCAAAGAAACCCATTTATTCAATTCAATCTCAATATAAAGAATCTTTAATCCTAGGCTGCTTTAATTAAGATCCTATCCCTATGAGAAAGATAAATCAAAGGTCCTTCTGACCATTCACAGCCTAGCTGTTCTCGTAAGCATTCCCCTAGAGGCTGTAATTGACAAGCCACATTTGTTCTGCTTCTATCAACTAGACTTACAATACTGATTGCAGTGGGACTGCTCTCTCTACATATTTTCATTTGTAATACTACTACAAGCATAACCATCATCAGTATTACATTCACAACACTTCACTAAGAGCTAGACAGAGCATTTTGTGCTTCCTTCAAAGACTTTCCTATCAGTGATACTACCATGTTCTGAAAGGCATTCACACTCACAAAACAGATTGTGAAACTGTTACATACACACTTCAAGCACAGCTTTCTCAGAAGCACTTGCAATTGCACAACCTTGCGCTACATCAGTGAGGCCATTATAAGCATACTTGCTGCTTTTTAGACTAAATGCAGGGGCCGATCTCGTTTGTAATTTAAAGTAGTATCATCCTGAAAGCCTATACTGTGGGCAACACCAGGCTGTGGCAGAAGTGGAAGAAAGAAAGGCAAGCAACCTATCTAAATGCTAACAATATATTTACTCATATTCCTGGTACGTTTACAGTTCTACCTGAAAATCAACTGAATTTCAGAGTTTTACAAAATAGGGCCACAAGTGACTCAGTGTAATATAAAATTGCTACTGCAAATTTGGGCAGAAGGCCCCATAACTTAACTCTAGCCATTACAAACTCTTTATTATTCATCTACATTCACAAATAACAATGCACATGGACTGCTGTACTCACAACATTTCTCTATTTTTCCTAGCACTCAGCTTACAACCTTCAGTTGGTAACTAATGGATCTTCTGCAAACTGATAATTCCTTCCAGCAGGTAGCATCATTAATCATTTGAGCTATGTGTTTTGTTCTTACGAAAGCCATTCACACGGAAGCAGTATGAATGAGTCTTCAGGAGAACTTATCCTAGCTACGCTGAGTAAAACAAAGGCTGGGCATTTTCAGATGAATAAAAATACCCAGGGATTTCCTACAAATTGTAATTAATACAGTTTCCTGCACTTTATGGCAGCTACAGAAGCTCAAGACTGAATATCCATACACTAATATATAACTTGCTCTCCTTACATGCATGATATAGCGTAACTGACAACGGGCAGCCACTTCCACTTGCTTGGCAGACATTTATAGCCACTCAGGACACTCCCTCCCTTTGGTTACAGCTCTATTGAAACCCCCTGCCAACTCACCCAGAGACACTGAGAACATAAGCTCAGTTGGCCTACATCAATGCAAAGACCAACAATTGAGCTTGAACAGCTAAAAAAAATGAGTTTAAACTAGAATGACAGATATTGCACAAGAGTGGCTAACTCTGGGCACGTTTTATTCCATCGTGTTTTATTCTACTGCAGGGAGAGTAACTTCAGGCAGCAGGGCTGATGATGGTAAGGCCCTATTAACACACAAAAAGCATGCTGAAACAGAGGCCATCCTAGCACTTCATATACAGAGACCTCAACATTAGTTCTGATTATATGACATCCTTCAAGGGAACTCAGGTATGAGGGTAGAATTGTGACGCGTGGAGATGCATGTGGTGACCAAAAGTGAAAACAGACACTTTCCAAAGTGAATGATAGGGTGATTCTTTACCTTTCCACTAGTGGAGTACGCAGGTATTGCCAGCACAAGGCGCCAGGGGCTCTGAAGCACTGCTCCTGGCTTTATTGCATCGCTTCTTTAAGACCCACAGTACCTTCTACATCTCGAGCCAGCTATTGCATAACACTTAAAGGCTCCCATTGGTTACACTCACTGATTTATTTTGTAAACAAAGGGATCCGTAAACAAAGGGATTTACAAACAGTAACACAACCGTATCATTTTCATAACTTTCAGTTCCCACAGACATCATCTTTTCCCCAGCTTAACGGCCCGGCAGCGCTGGGAACAGAGCACAGACCAAATTAACCCAAGGGAATTAAACACTAAATAACCCACGAGGCAACCTCCCTCTCAAACCCACGTATTTGGGAGAAATTCACAAACGAACAGCGGGACCCTTTCAGACTCAGCAGCCACAAGTTCAGGTCAGTCGAAGGCAAGCTCCTCAGCGAGAGCACGGAAACGAGCGTCCCCACCGCGGGGCCAAAACATTCGGCACGGGTTCAGCGTCGCACAGAGCGGCGCCACAGATGAGACCAAAGCGCACGGGAGCCTCCTGCGCCCGCCCCGCCGCCCAGCTCTGCCCGCACTGGGCGGGGTCGCCCGGCGTCGCTCCTCGGCCCCGTCCCGCTCTCCCCCTCCCCCCGCCGGAGTCGGGCCATCGGCGCCGTTCCCGGGGCTCCAGCAGCCACGTGCCGGCCCCGGGGCGGCGGGCGGGGCTGACCGAGGAGCCCGGCCCTCCGCCCCGAGATGTGCTGATGCCGATCCCGGCCCCGCGCCGCCTCCTGGCCGGCTGCGCCCCAGGGCCGGCGGAGGAGGCGGGAGCAGAGCCCGGGCCGCCCGCCGCCGCTGCCCCCCCCGGGGCCAGCAGGGGCGCTGGCTCCCTCCCTCCCGCCCGCCCCTCCCGGGCCCGCGTTCGAGCCCCGGCCCCAGCCCTGGCCCCGCCATACCTACGGCGGCCGAAGCGCGGCCCCTTAGCAACGGCCGCGGCCACGCGCCCGTCCCGTCCGCCCGCGCCCGGCGTGCGCGCTCCCGCCCCGCCGCGCGACGTGCGCGCCTCCGCGCTCCGCCGCCGCTGCCGCCGCCGCCGCGGCTCCCCGGGCCGCAGGGGGCTTCGCGGGCCTGGGAGCTGGCGGCGGCCGCAGCGCCTGGGCGGGTCTTCTCGCCGCGCAGCCTGGGGTTGGAGCGGGGGATGCGAGGGGCCGCGGGGAGCCTGCAGCCGGAGTGGCGCGGAATTAGCTGGCGGGACGGGGGCGGGCAGGAGCGAAGAGAGCGGCGTCCCGACAGGCGTTCGCCAGGGGCGCCCCTACCGGCCGAGGGCCCCCTCTCGCCCGCCGTCGCCGTGGCGACGGGCGAAGCCGCGGCGCGGCCTGGCGCGGAGGCCGGGCTCAGGGTCCAGGGTCCGGGCCCCGGAACCTGTTTGTCCGCCCTGTCCTCAGCGCCATGGCCGCCGAGGTGGCGGTGGTGGGATCGTGTATGACCGACCTGGTCAGGTTAGTACCTGGCGCGGCGGCACGGAGCCCTTGGCGCAGAGGGAGCTCGGGCCGCCACGCCGAGCTGCCGGGCCCGTCAGGGTCGGCCCCTTTGCTGGGAGCCTCGGGGAGCGGGGAGACGGGCTTCGGTCAGCCGCCTCCGCCGTGAGGGGGAAGGGAGACGAGGGTTTGTGGTTTCGGCTGCGCTCGGGGGCCCGGCGGCGCCCTGGCTGGAGCGATATGCCCACGAAATCGTGTGCTCCGATACTCGTTATCGGCGCAGAAACGATTTTGAGAAAGGTAAATAAATCCGGTCAGCTGGAAACTCGTTTCTGCCGGAAAAGCGAGAATGAAAGCTTAATGTTGAAAAGAAACTGAAATTAGGTCTGTGAAAAAGTAGAACGAAGCCCACTGCTGCAGCCCGCTGTTGTCTGACAGAGGGACAAGGCCCTGAGCTGTGCGTATCCATACAGGTGGGGACGTGGAAGTAAGGAGCCCTAACAAAATCTAGCTCCTCTGCACCCCGGAGTGGGTTTTCAAACTATGAAATCCTTTTTTAAAACAGTATCTTCCTTCCTTTTGATTCATCCTTTAGGCATTTGGGGTTTGGAATTAGGTGCTTGGGCTTCATTGTGTTTTTCCTTCTTTCTTTTTGTACATAGGTAAGGTTTCCAAACTTCTAAGACAAATTAAAGCAGACAGACTCATAAAAGCTCGTGGTTCCCACAGCCCGACTTTATAACGAATACTAAATATCAGGAGAATTCAAATGGAATTGCAGGAGTTGATGATGATGAAAATATTAATCCAAACTGCCTGACCTTGTTGGCCCCAGTACACTTGCAAATCAGTCCTTTATTTGCACTTTATTAAACACACCTGGTTTTAAACTATGTATGCAGAGTTGGTTAAAATAGGATTTAAAAGTGTGTGTGTCTGGACTGCATCAACGCATCCTGCTGGGAATTCTGCAGTTAAAAACACAGTTCCCGATTAGAAGATTATGCTGAGGACTAAGTGCAATGTAGGCATAGGCCTGTCTTGCAAAAACTCTTAAATAATCATAGAACCTGTATCAGAAAAAAATGATGCTTTACATGATTTGCAGAATACACTGCAATTTACCAGGAAGAATAGTTATCTTGGAGGTCAGAGTAAGATATTGTAGAACTGATCTTGACATTATGTGGGTCTGAGCTTGTGGCATTATATTGAAATAAAACATGGCCCTTTATTCTCAGAAAATTCTTTTTCTGTCTCTCTAAAATGTGGAAACAAAAATGATCAAAACTTTGCCAGCTTAAGCACTACTGCCAGCCATGGGTTTGGGTGCTTTCTTGACAGTTAAACAAAAACAAAGCAAAGTAAAAGCAAAAAAAAAAAAAAAAAAAAAACCACCCAGAAAGCTCCCATGCTTTTTGGCTTCAAGTTTGGTGTGATGGAAATACAGTCACTTGGTTGAAACCTTATTAACAGGGCATTCTGTAAGTAGAGATTAAACCATTGGTTACAGCCATACATGCTGTTACAGTGAGATTAAGTGGTTGTAAAAAAGCTATTTTGCTTTTCAGTCAGCTGAGAGGGTTTCTTAACTGAACAAATGCTATCACAAGAATGTATCTGACTCACCATTATTAGCCTTTGCTTTAAGGAGCAGTGAAGGGCTTTTTATTAGCGATAAGCTGATTTGATTCAACTGAAAAAGAATGGATAGCTTCATTCTTTGTTATTAGTATAGGATTTCAGGCACTTCATAAACCAGGAAAAAGAATGGGTTTAAATTTAGCTGGCAAATGTTTGATCTGGCTGAAATCTTCGGGTGGATAGAGTCTGGATGCAGCCAGCATTAAAAATCCTGGTCAGATTACCTGAAAGCACTGGGCTGTGGGCTGGGATGCCTGTAAGTGAGGAGCAAAGCTATGAAACAGGAAATGATAAGCAAACTGTATAAAAAAACTACCAGGTTGAAATTCATGCTAGGAGTCTCTCTTAACTGTCTTTATGTCTGCAATGTAGGGGGAGCCATATATATCAGGTTTAAGGCTAGGGTTCATTTCAGCAGGAACAAAAGAACATCAGGTTTTCATCCGTTTGTCTGTCATTTATGCTGATGTTTTAGTTTGGAAAAGACATGGAGAGCAGTGCTCACATGTTACGTGCCTGTCTATCACCCATTTGAAGAGACTGAATAAACTATGAGGGTCATGCACTATGAGGTCAGACACGTATTTGGGCACATTGTGGTCGATAGTCTTATTCACTGCTTAGCACTGAAGCCTATCTTTCCTAGAATAGAGGCGTACTGATTGAGGCTCTGCCAGAAGCACTGACAGGGTGCAACATTGGCCCTCCAGAATAAAGTCTTCACCCTCTTTCTGGAAAAATAGAAACTGAGGGTGGCAAGCATTTAGTGGTAAGCATTCCTAGGTCTTCAGAGGCAAGGTACTGAAAATCCAGATGATAAGCCTGAAGCTACCATTGAACATACAGTAACCAGATTCACCAAATAAAAAAAAAAGTTGCCATATAATGTTTTTACTCAACACAGTAAACAAGTAATTTAAAGAAGCATAACCTCTGTGTGAAATGTGCAATCTGAAATTTGCTAAGTCTTACATAATGAATGAGAGGAGAAGGAAAGGAGGCCTTCTGTTGAAAACACTATTCACATGTAATTTTGAGAAATAATCAAATTCAGAAGAAAGGGTTAGCGTCCCTTAAGATTCTTTTAAGGAGAAGGAGCCCAGTGGTTTGCTTTTAAAATACTGTTCTCATTGGAAATTCTTTTCTCATTGTCCTGTAGCGCTGCAGTGGCAAAATGTGGGTTTTTTAAAGTGAATTTAGTATAATCAAAACAACCTCACGTACATACATGCAGTAAACCACACTCTTTTGGCTTAACAGGACCAGGAACAAAACATATTTGTGGTCACAATCACAATCAACACTTCATCGGCAATTCCAGACAACAGTAGCAGAAAACAAAAACAGCATTATTCCATATGATCTAGATATCAAGCCAGACGGGTACCATCCATAGTATTATTTAAATAGTTTCTGTTCTGACTCATATTTGCAGTCTGATCGTGGCAGTGTTTTAATTCGTACTAAATCAGGGCAAGACTAAACATATAAACCAATGAGAGTCAGACACACTAAAACAATTAGAATAAACAGGAGAAACTTTGGCATGGCAATTGAAAACAGCAAAAGCAAGGAACAAAACATAAGATGGAAAAACTCTTTAGATAGTCACAACAGCAACAGTTTTTCACTTGAATTCAAGAGAATGAGACGACAGCCCAAATTCTGGAAAATGATGTTTGTTAGGATGTTCAGAATTTGAAGTCTTAGTTTTTTTGGTGGACCTTAATCCTTCTCTCAGATTGCTTATTTTCACTAGGGAACAGAACTGGAAAGTAGGGCTTCAGGCTCCCTCTTGTAACCACTGTCATTGCAACAGGCAAACCAATTGAAGGCATTCACTGAAAGAAGACTTGGTGGAGAAAGCACTGACCTACGAAGCAGTGTGTTGCCAGAATGGACAGTAGTGACAAATGCATATCTGGAATTAAATCCCAGAGGAGTCTGATGGGTGTGTCAAATCACCTTCACTAACAGAGCACAATGTCTGCTTTTGCATAATGGCAAAGTTACCTCCGTTAGTGAATGAGATTCTAGCTCTTAAGCCTCTCCTGGTGGCTACTGTCTGCTGAAGTGCTGCAGTAAATGACTCACTGTCTCGTTGGAAATCCATGATCTTAAGTAGTGTGTGTACTTTCTTAAAGTGCAATACTTGGATCACTACTTTCAGCCTTTTTCTTTTTTGCAGGAATATGAAAAGGAATTTTCTTATGTTTCTTTTGTGGTAGCAGGGAAAGTCTCACATAAAACTTTGCTCTGTTTCCAGGTCTTTCACATGTTCTCATTTCCACAGTTTCTCATGCATGCAGTCACCGGGTTTCAGAGTTTCTGTTCTTTCATATATTTTTTTCTGCTCTTCAGCTTCTCCTAGCAGCAGAGAAAAGTGTTCTAGAATCCTTCAAATCCGTTCCATTTGTGTTTTTGTTTTTATCTGTAATGCTTCCCCTGCAGCAGCCACTCCTCATTCTAGTCAATCTGCTGTTGCCAGCAGCATGGGAAAGCACAACTGTGAAGGAATACAAGCTTAGTCCAGTTGAGGAAATTAATCTTTTGGATCCAGAGAAAGGCATCAAGGCATGAGAGAATGTGTCATCTGTGAATTGTTTGCTTTATGTAATAGTGAAAAATCTGGGCTTGATTTCAGAGCCTCGTCTTCTTCTCTGACCTAGCAAAGTTTTGAATGTATAGTAAATGTAGGATGTGCAGGCTGTGTGCTTTGTTGTTCTGCCCTGATTACAGAGGACCTCAAATATGGTTTAGAACAAATCCCCTTTGGCTTCTCTTGGCTGACAAAAAGAAAGCTGCATCCTGGGGAAAAAAAAAAAAATAGACAGTAAAAATCAGGTTGATGAAATTCTCAGTAACAGACTAAAGGAATAAAATTGTTCTATACAAATATAGTTTCAAGTATCCAAAATAGTTCAGGCTCTGCTTATCTCGTGTAGGACCTGATTGATCCAAAGCTCATTGATATCAGAGGAGGCTTTCCAGTGCTGCAAACTGATGTGAAATTGTCTCTGCCCCTTGAAATAGGAGTGTTTATTTCAGAATGCAACATAGTTTAATCTTTTCTGTATTAAAACTATTGGGAATTACATTCCACTCCTGAAGAGTTTCCATCAAAGTTCTTCTAACAATAAGTAAGTAAGTAAATAAGTAAATAAATAAATAAATAATATTGAAGAAGAGAAGATGGGCAAAAGTCTGACTGGGTTTTACTTAAAAACACAGGATATCTAAGCTGAGGCCACCAATGACTTCTTTTAACCCATTACAAGAGCTGCATTTGCAGCCAAGTTTATAAACCACAAGGAAGAGACAGTGTACCATTGATGACAGCTGGCGCTTTCTGAAACGAACTGTTGTGTAGCAGAGGA